TGCGACATCGCTGAAGTGAAAGATGGGCCACTAGGGTAAGTGTCAATAGACCAATATTCTCTGAAGGATATGGGCCATCTCATCAGGCGTACGCCCAAAGGAGTGATTACCATTCCGCAAGCAAGACACCCTACTAACATAGCTAGCCCATAGGAGAGAATTTGATGTAGCGAGCCTAACCTATATGGGAGCGGCGACACCAACAACTGGTACACAAGCACTTGGGAGTCTTCAATGGACCTTTGAGAATAGGTCAAGGTCCGACTTACGAAAACCAAATATGGTACCTTACAAAATTCGGTATTCTGGACTCAACGAAGATGTAGAAACTTCTAATCGAGCTCCTTTTGACCAAAAGTGAGTCCCAAATCAAAACTTCATTTAAATATATATTCTCATAAGGGAACTTCGGATGAACCCTGAAGCCTTGGGATCAGCACGAAGTTCCTTCTGGATCAACCTGAGCAATCTATAGCTGACGGAACCATCAATATTGCATTCTGAGGTTGTCTTTCTACATTTTTTTTTATCAAAGTTGACTGTTCAAGTTTCAGAAGCTCTAAAAATACAGAAATTTGCTCATAAGCAAAATGAACGACAAGTTGATCAACCTATTAGTCCTAGCAAGTCATAAATAACTTGGTGTTGCTATAGCAACCTTTAAATGATGAAATGAAGGCATTAACAAGGAAATGACTTCTTGTATCATTACACTACAAATATTGTTGTGTCAATGAATTCTATTATATCAATGAATATATAGTTTTGTCAAGGTATATCAAGTGCATTTTTTCCTTGTTTATTCAATTTATGTCAAGTTAATCAATACAATTGTATATGATTACAATTGGTATAAACAAATAAAATTATGTCAAGTTATATGAACAGATAGAATTGAATCAAGTGTATTTGTTCCTGTTATGTTCCTGTTATAGAATTGAATCAAGTTATATGAACAAATAAAATTATGTCAAGTTATATGAACAAATAGAATCGTTTGGTATAGTGTATAAGAATAATGCAAAATAGGGTGCATTAGTATTGTTTGCATTAGTAGTACTTGCATTAGTTATGCAAGCATTATTTCTTATACATTGTTTAGTTTGATGTATTAAAATAACAAATCTTGCATAATTTTATTAAAAAATATATGTTTACAAAAATACCCTTCACACTTTATTTATTTGTACACTTCCTTTGCACCAAAGTTATTTGCTTAAACATCAAAAAATATTTCTTTACTAAAACATCATTAACTCTTCATTCTTCTTTTTTTCACAAATAATATTAAATAGTTATACTATTGCGTCAAAATATTTTTGTGAAAAATTGACAATTTTTTTTTGTCTACATTGAAAACAAAGCATTTAGATTGTCATCAAATACTAATAAAATACAAGAAAGTAATGCAATCAACTCAAGAAAAAGATAGTAATCTACTTGTTCACATCTAATTATTACTTGGTTATTAAGATAAATCAACTAAGTCAGATTCTTTTACAACAAAAAAATTCTACCTTCTATCATATTTTAAGGATGAATTTATGTGTACTACTAATTAAGAAAAGCATAACATACTTAAGAGGCCATAAAGCCTATTAAGACACCAATAAATTAAAAGACACTAAAAAGCAAATCAACATAAAAATAAAAGTTTATGATAACAAAGAAAATGAAAAGACTTTAACGATAGTTTTGTAATTATTTAATCATTAGCAAGTGTTATAATGCTATGTTTTACTAATATCTAGAATTTCTTGGTATTAATAATACACAACTTAATAAACAATAGAGTAATAACTAATGCTTGCATTAGATATACATGGCATGAAAAAGTGTACCAAACAAAGTATTGCTAATACACACATCTAATGCATATATTATATTTCCTAATACACTCTACCAAACGACCCCTTAGTATCAAGTGTATTTATATAATTATAGTAAGGGTATGTGTTTTTTGTGTTTTCTCTCTATATCAACATATTTGAATTGATCAGTTCTGTTCATACATACATTTATGTTGTATCAAAAACCATTATATAAATTATAATCATCTATGCATAACTTGTATTTCTTGATTACTTCAGAACAAGAATAAAAGAAATTGTCTACTGCAGAACCAAATTTTATATTGTACCGTGAGATTCCAAAATAGATACAGAGGGGCGGG